TAGTGTTGTCCAAACTTGGCCACTTTAAGATGAGTGGACTTCAACTCCCATGGCTGGCTGGGGAATTCTGGGAGTTGAAGTCCACTCATCTTAAAGTGGCCAAGTTTGGCAACACTGCTGTAGACAGTCAGATAAATTTCATTCATTAATAAATAAATTGGAAGAGTAGGCAACTGGCCAAGATGTCATAAAACTGGCAATGGCACAGGATTGAGTCTGTAGGTTCACCTGATTTTTCAGGGCTAGACAGACTCTGGTTTATGGTGTTTTGATGTCAGCTTTGTTGAATGGCCTACATCAGATGATGATGATGATGATGATGATGATGATGATGATGATGATGATGATGATGATGATGATGATGATGATGATGATGATGATGATGATGATGATGATGATGATGATGATGATGATGATGATGATGATGATGATGTCATTGTACAGTAGATGGTGCCTGGTGCAAGAGGATAGCTTAGCTATAATCTAAAACTTCAGTCCAGAGAAATGCCATGGGAAGGGAAGGGAAATGGAGCCTTAACCAAAGAAGATTGTGTGATTTCTCACATCCCTTCAACAGGTTATAGTTTACTTTGCAATAAGTTGCAGTAACAATGACATGAATTGCAATCATTAGCCCATTATAGATGCAATCTTCTGGGAGAGCATGACAGGGACTAAAGGACTGGTTAGCTACTCCTATGCAACATCTTAGATAAGACTTTACTAAGGATGGGACAATTTAAGACTGGATCCCATTTCAGTCTTCCCAACTGCAACTGGCTGCTTCAGACATTGGAAAGCTGCAAACCTTGAAAACCTTGATGGGATTGAGGTTGTGGGGGATCCAAAGCAATCCCAACCTTCTGCCAAGCCACCAAACTGGGAAATCATTCAAGCACTCTTGCAAATTTCCCAGAGATTTCTATTTATTGGTTTATTTGTCTCACAATGCCTGCTAACTCACAACAATTACAAAATACAACCATAAAATGTTCCTAACAAATTAAAAGTAAGTTACATTTAAATTGCAGAACACACGCCCCCACAGCTTCACAATTTGCTCCAACTATCTCCAGAATCATTTGGTTTAAATTAGCTTCTGGAAGGCTATTAATGATGGAGCCACTCTAATTTCCAAGGAGCTTCCTTGTGCATTTGATTGGCCACTGTGAAAACAGACTGCTGTACCAGATGGACCAGGGGTCCAATCCATCAAAGCACTGCTTACGTTATATTAAGGGGAAGGGGCATTCCAGAGACCCAGGGCCATTGAGGAGAATCAATACCTCCAGGCCTCAGCACCCTCCCCCTCAGTCACTTGCCAGAAATGGGACACTACCAACAGTTTCTCCTAGGAAAGACATTGCTGATAGATCAAATACAGTTGAAGAAGGCAAAGGGGCCTGAAGGTACCAAGGTATCAGACTATATATTGCTATATAGGTTAAAGCCAGCATCTGGTTAATCCTGCCTGGTATCAGAAGCTAGGCAGGGTCAGGTATCCATCAGGAAATTCCAGAGAGACAGAACAACATAGTGGAAGAAAACAGTGGCAAACCACTTTTATGTTGTATAAACTCTGCATGTCTTGTCTGAGAAGTGACCAGGAGTCAAGTCAATGTAAGGGCATCTTTATTTACAGCTCGCCATGAGAAATGCCCTGCCCACGAAGAGGACACAGTGGCACACGGAACATTTCTGTTTCATTTCTATGATGTAAATCTGCTTCTTGCAGGGATGTCACGGTCTCATTGCTCAGACACCATAGTTCTGAGCTCCCATGATAGGATTGTTTTGTAGATGAATCAACTTCTGATTAATTGGCCAGAGCGATTTTTAATTGGTACCGTTGCAGACTACTGCTAATTAGTTCATCTTTGGAGGTTGTTGGTTTACTTTTGTAGGACGTGAAGAAGAAATGATTAAAAATGCCTTTTCTTTCTAACAACGTAATTCTTGTTATACTAAGTCCTATTATGTTATTCTTCATTAAAGAAACCAGTGGTTCCTTCAGTGGGTGATTTTGTTATTGCTATCTGTGAATTGCTTTTGTTGCCATCGTGGCGGTTGCCTGTATTTTAAATTCATGTCAAAATGAAAGAAAATCCCATAGATTTCTAAAGCCCTGCGGTGAAAAATCTCCCCCATTCCTCTGCCTAGGTATTCTTTTAATAAAAATCTCTCACATTGTCAGCAATGGGAAGGAAATGATTTATAACAGCTCAAGGACTAGTCTAAATTCCCCCAGACCGGAGATGAGGCGGAGGGCTAGAATTGTTTATGATGCCCCACTGAACCCCTGTGCTGCCTCTTTCTCCCTGGACTCATTTTCCAGTAGTTGGAAAACTGGTTTAAGAGAATGGAGGGGATTTTTTGGCTCCAGATTCCCTTTTTGAGGTTGGAGCACTATCTCTCTCTGACCTGGGAGGGGAGATTCTAAATTATTCTACCGTTCCTCGGATGGCAGTCTAAATTATTTTCCGTTTGATTGTTGTTCTAATGTTTGAAGAATCATCTTAATGATTTCTTTTCTGTTTACTCATTTGTTTATTACGCTGCCTGTTGGTTGGGAGACAGAACATTGCACATTATAAATAGTTTCTCCCTTATGCATTTTTAACAGAGTTTGTATCAGCAAAGGGCACGGATCCCATACCAGCAAACGTTACATCCTCAACTGGGGTGCTATTCCAGACAGGTACGGTAGACGTTCTCTAAGTCACCTGTAGCATAAATCAAAGGAGGGAATGTAAATCTGAGAAGATCTCGGTGGCTTTGAGCAAATCCGTCTCACTCAGCCTTGATTTCCTATCTGGAAAGCAGAAAATTATATAATTGAAGAGGGACATTGGGCAGTAAATCCCAAGAGAGATAAGAAAGCATGCTCTAGTAACAGCCTTAATCAGGGTTTGGCAAGTCCTAACCTAAGAAGCCTTTGACCATGAGTGTTTCCAAAGGGGAAAGAAGGAACCCATGTTACAATCCATGCTCACCCTCTACTTGGAGAACTCCTGGTTAGAAGCCACCCAGCCACTCTTGTGACCCAGAGAACATCTTGGGACAATCAGTTAAAAACAGTGAGTTATGTATTACAAGTGAGAACCAATTAGAAAATATTGCAACATGGCTCTTGTATTTCTGCCCCTCCCAAAATCTGGAATATTCTATTGTTCCTTTAAACTATTGCAGGCTGAAATATATTAACATCTTCCTCAATCATTTTCTTTGTTTGTTTTCTCTCTCCTGCATCCAACTGATAACTTGACTTCAATTGCTTACAACATCCTCTAGATCTTCTGAAGCTCTCAATAATATAATTTAGAAATCTGTGCTATTTCTGCGTGCTTAGGGATTCCTTTGTTTAAACAGAAAGAAATTGCTACTTTCCTAAAAGTCAGGCTTGAGCTAAGCAGGGTCAGACCTGTTTAACATTTGGATGGGTGATGACTGAAAATCCCAGGATTATACAGGGAACTAGACTGAGAAATCAGAAAGTCAGCATCATAGTGCCAAATCTACTCCCTTATTGCTGCCAAGAAAAATACATGGACGTGTTTGCATAGTCACCAGTCTGATTTGACCTTTTTGCCCTGCCAGAAAGGAGTTTCTTTTTCAGGTTTTCAATCCTTAGGCAGATGGCCTTTCATAAAATGCACTGCACGGTCATCCCCAAGCCATGAATGCAGGGCTTCTCAAGAAGGAAGGGAAAGGAACGAAATAATTACCTTAAGTCAACTGTAACTGTAAAGGCAAAGGATGTAAGATGGAGTCACTTTTATCATCCCTAGAAAAGATAACAACATAGCCTAGATCTCTAAACATACCAACAGGGGATATTTTATGAGCTGCTCGGAAATATGTCTTTTTAGTAATCAAGAACGATGAGTTGCATAATATGTGCAGAAATTGTGCCACAGTTTAATTGTTTAGTCCATTAAAAAAAAAAGTTTCCATCCACATGCACCTGGCAAGATTGTGAGTTAAGATCGAGGTAGATTCTGTAGCACCAACTTGGAGTCAAGGAGAGACAAGTGAAGGCTGGTGGACAATAGGGAAATAAGTGCTAAGTTACATTTCTCCCTGGATTAGGGAGTTCTAAATTACTTAGCATTTGCTTGTTTGTTTTATTTCTATGGCCACCCATTTCAAATACATGGCTCTGGGCAGCTTTGTTTCTGAAATGGAAATAAAACCTTCCATATTCTGTCCTCAATAATTCACACGTAGAACCTGGGCAACCTGGGCATTCCACACACACACACGCCCCACCAATTCTTTTAATTTGATGAAAGAAAATTTGCTTTAGAAATTTAGAGAGCAAAACAATTGAAGAAATCTTGAATGAGGTGTTTACAGCAAGGGCTACCAAGCAGCCAAAGGACAGGTGTGAATTTTCTATCCTCCTTGCACAGTTGTCTCTTTAGTGCTCTACAGACTTTATGGGTTCCCATATTTCTACTCAGTCCCACGGAAGATGTCAGGAGGGAACTCCTCCTGGGGGGTGTTTCCAGGTTGGGAAATGTAGGCAGCCAGGGAAGCTTCTCAGAGATGGAGAGACAAGGAACCGAAAGCACCAACCGTCATACCTCCTCCTATCTCTGCCCAAAAGACATCCGAGACTGAAGTTGTAAAACAGAAGCTTCTTCACAGAGGAAGAAAACTGAAGTACAAGAAAGTGCAACGCATTTCTTAATGGAAGTTGCAAATGGCAATCCACAGTTTCAAACAGTCCACACACCACCACCCCCCAAAAAAGTAGAAAAGATTGATGGAGAAGAATAATGCACGAAAATTGGTGTCATGCATCTGGACTAGATTTAGACTGATTTGTATATCCCAGGTTGATGCACCTGGGTTTTTCCATTTCCCCCTTGTGGCTGTAAAACTGAGAAGTCCTTCCCCAGGCTCAAATCTCTTTTCGCCATTTATTCAGTGGTAAAAGGAGCAGAAATCCTCCCAGAGTTTTATATACTTTCCACTTGAGAGTCCTAATCTTCCCCAAAGAGCTTTGAAGACAGAGGGAAAAGGGAAGGGAGTAGACACTCAGATTCAAGTCTCCGTTTGATGCAGAGATCTCTAGGTCACCTTAGGCTAGGGACTCCTCTTAGCCCATCCTACATTTCAGGGTTGATATGGTAGGGAAGAAATGTATGCTTCCTTGAAAGGAATGACAGGATGTAAAGGACATCTCTGCCCACTCGACAAGGTCGCATAGGGTGGGCATGTTCCAGGTTCCCTGTTTGAAATAATGCCACCTAATGGGACCTAGCAGGTGGGTACCTTCTCTGTTGCTACGCCTTCCCTTTGGAATGAGCTCTCCCAACCTCAAGGTTTGGATGACGCTGACCCTATTGGCCTTCCACAGAGCCATGAAGATCTGGCTTTTCTCCCGTGTACCAGGCCAGGATGGCAGGTGAGCCCGTTCTGTGATGTGTGTACCAGTTTTTATCACCAGCCTCACTTACATGTTGATTACATTTTGGATGTTGTTGGGTTTTTCCGGGGGGGCGGTTAGGGGTATGGGATTGTATTGTAATTTATCTTTCTTATTCATTCATTCATTTATTTATTTAGTGTGCTGTCCAGAGTCACACATTGTGAGAGGGGTGGCCTAATAAATAAATGGATATATGGATGGATGGATGGATGGATGGATGGATGGATGGATGGATGGATGGACGGACGGTTAGGTGGATAGGTGGATGGATGGGTGCTGGGGTTATGGCCAGGTCAAGTGGGACTTTTTCCGCGTTCTTAGATACAGCTATTACATCCTACTTTTTCTTCCTGTTCCACAGGTAACTCCTTACAACGCACAGCAAATCTTCCGCTCACCTTACACACCTGTCCTCAGCTACATCCCTTTGGTTCAACCTGGTTATTCTTATCAGCAAAGGAATCCAACCAAGGCTTCCAGCAGTGTCCGTGACCCTCCAGCAATGGCAGGTGATGGGCCGCAGTATCCATTTTCTCCTTCCTACGGGTAAGCGGCCTGTCGCACTTCCTTCTCTAATGTGTTTGTGTGCATGCGTGTATGACGGGGGAGGGTTGTCGTTGATTATCCATTTGTTCTGCTCTTACCACCAGACCCCTTTAATGGTTTATAGATTCTTTTAATCACTAAGGGAACCTAACTGTGTGGAACATAGGGAAGATAGACACTTGATTACCATAGGAACAAAGGAACAAACAGATTTTTATAACTCAGATAACTTAAAATGGGTTTTAAAGCAGACTTACTTATTTCTAGACATTATCTATATCCCATCAATACTAGCCTATCCTGGTCCTAAAATTATTCTTAAACCTGTTGCCCCAATGAGATGTGTGCGTATAATTCCCCAGCTGGTACGCTGAGTATCCCTCCGACCCAACCTCCCACCAGCACCTCCCAGTTCCCTCCAGTTGTCTCCTCTGGTCGGAATATTACCTGGTAGGGTGTGCCCAGTGCTGCCATCCTTTGACTGGCAGTTCCCCTATCCAATCATCACCTGGCCCTTGTAGTGTTAGTAAGGAATTGGCAGCGTCATCATGAACACCATAGGGGTGGCTACCTTTCACTCAAAGTTGAAATTTATGTAATTGGGATAGAAGGATAGATTCTGAAATTAGGAGAAGAGTTGTGTATAGATATTTTATGCCATTTCAGGGAGAGGGAAGCAGGATTGCTATTCTGAATGCTTCTTCCTCCAAGAAAATATTTTGGGAGATCAAGAAGGGGACTTATACAGGTAGTTCTCAACTTACGGCCACAACTGGGACCAGAACTTCCATCACTGAGTGATGTGGTCATTGTGAGTCATACCCAATTTTATGACCTTTTTTGCCATGATCATTAAGTGAATCATGTGGTTGTTAAGTGAATCCAGCTTCCCCCATTGATTTTGCTTGTTGGAAGTCCCCTGGAAAGGTCACAAATAGCAATCACAAGACACTGGGACACTGCAACCATTGTAAATACATGCCAGTTGCCAAGCATCCAAATTCTGATCATGTGACAGCAGGGACGCTGCAACAGTCGTAAGTCACTTTTTTCAGCGCTGTCATAACTTTGAACAGTCATTAAACAAATTATTGTAAGTCGAGACTACCTGTAAGGGAACAAGGGAGGAGCTTTAGCTATGGCATTTTTCAAGGTCAGTGTAGCAGCAATGGAGTTCTTTGGGTTGCTGCCTCTTATCCTTTCCTTTCAGTAAATTTGTGGGTATGAAAGGATAGGAACCACAACAGTACCGATGATGATTCTTAAGTTTTTAAAAGGGAGAAAGGAAGAAGCCACCTCCTTTTCCATTGTAAATCCCCTTTCCCTTTCCTTAAAAAGCACTCCAAATGAGAAAATATTAGAAATGGGAAAGTCCAGAAAAAAGAATAGGCAAAAAGTTCAGGAGAAAAGATACGAAAAAAAATTACCCTGATTTTGCTTCCTGTTAAATGCAGAAGATGGCTTCCCATCTCTAGACAGGGTGTTTCTTGGCCCAAGTTCATGTTGGCAATTGATCTAACTAAACAGGGCAGAGAAGGGGTTGGTGCAGATCCCACAGGAAATGTCTGCTCTTAAAGACAGAATATCAGGAAGACTACCTTACCATTATACAGAACCCAAACATTTTGTGAGAAGTAGATGCGGCTCTTTTCGTCCAGAACCTCTAGAGTCCCCTGTACATATCCTATTTGTCATTCAAAGAGGGCCTCCTAAAAACACTCTGGAGGGGCTATTGGTCCTACTTCGTTTCTCCATCAGTGTAAACTGTGACTGGTGAGGCGGCCTGCACAGGAGAGATGGAAAATGTGTAGTCCTTTAAATCCCACTTGACTCCCGCTGCTCAGTTCACAACTTTTGCCAATGGTTTTTCTCTTATTCCAACCTAATTCCCTATCCAGAACTTCTTCTCCACTAATTGGTTTTATCTTCTTAAACATTCCCACCGTTTTCCATTCTTTCTGCTCCTTCCACCAACCCTTCTAAAACATGACTTCTGCCCGTCATTGTGATCCAAAGCCTGATCCACATCTCTTAGGAAACTATAGTAAGATTTGCTTTTCTCGTTGTGTGATGTTGAAATTCACTCATGACAGCTTATCACAATATGTGAACAAAGCCACTGTGGCTTCTTTAACCAACCATAGTTGTAAAACTGCTGGCTTTACACTCTATGTAAAGTACTAATACTAACCATACTATTAGTACCAACAGAGATTATTATTTCTAATTTTTTATTTACTGATAATGGTTTTTATTTACCAATTTATTATTTTATATCCTAATGTGTTCTTATTTTATTTACTCTTTTTATTTATTAATATTTTTATTTACTACTACTAATGAGAATACTGTTAGTACTAAAAGAGATTATTCAATAAAGATTCTAAATGTGTGTCTGCATGTACACAAACAATAATTCTGCTAATTATTCAATAACCCTTCATTATTCACAATTCATTATTAGATTATTCAATAAAGATTCTAAATGTGTGTCTGCATGTACACAAACAATAATTCTGCTAATTATTCAATAACCCTTCATTATTCACAATTCATTATTTTATCTTCAGGTTCACATCTAGCACAGCTGCGCCTGTAAGGACCAATCCTTATTTCTCTTCTAACGGAGGCAGTGGCAACAGTTTTTAGAACATTTGACGTTTCGTTTTGTTATTTTCTTGGAAATATGGACACTTTAGAAATAGTTTAAAATTCTTATCACTGGACATTTTGCTCCAAAGTTTAGAAATTCAGGTCCAAATCACCTGTGTAATTTTAGAGCTAAGAGATAGGCATTCATCCCAAAGAGCAACGTTTTATTTAGCAGGAACGGATAAATACTTCAGCACTTTTTAAAAGAAATATTATTTTTTTTTAAGACAAGAGAGATGTTTTCATTTTTTTTTAATGATGAATATCTTTGCTGCTTTAAATTGAATTTTGCTGTAATAGAAGTGGCTGATTAAAAAACAAAAACAACAACATTGTATTGGTAATTTTTGGATAGAACTGGACCCATCTGTTATTTGAAAAACTGAATCAATTCATTGGAGGCTATTGCACATTGGGCAAAGCAAAAATGTACTTTATTTCATTTCAGTTTAAAGTATTGCATGAACCATCTGTTATTATTTGTAAATCATGGTGTAAGGCCACAAATGAACCCAGCCCATTGTAATATATTCAAGAATCTGTGGCGCAATATAGGAGTTCAATCAGTACCTGGTTTTAGACTATGGCCGATAATAGAAATCTTTCAGAAGATGTGGATTTGTGATATCTAAGAATTTGCTAGCACCCCCCTCTTTCTCTGATCAAAATGGACATGACAATCACATGTGTTAGAGATGCTTGTGAAAAAACGAACGTACGTCTGATGATTTTGCACACAAAAAGGGATAGCTACATTTACTTGCTTATATTTATTCATTCACATGCATTATAGTTGCCCAACAGCAAGGGACTCTGGTCTGGATGGCATACCAAACCCCCAAAAATCCATAAAAACAGATAAAACATAAAACCGCACAGATAGCCTGGACTAAAACGATCTTAAAAGTGACACAAATTCAATGGAACAGGAGCCCCAAAAATACAATAGTAAGCTTTCCAGAACCTTAGGAGAGAGGGTGCAGTCCGTATCTCTGGGGGGACAGAAAAGGCCCCCTTCCTCAGTCCTGCAAAAAAGATGGCAATGTTTAATGGAGGGGACCAGGAGCACACCCACTCTGCTGGAACGTACCAGGCAGGCGGAAACAGTTGGAGATAAGTGGTCCCTCAGATATCCAGGCCTTTGCCATACAGGGCTTTATAGGTAATAACCAGCACCTTGAATTGCACTCAGAGGCCGACTAGCAACCAATGCAGCTCGCATAGTAATGGTGACACATGGGCATACCGAAAGATGCCCATTGCTGCTCACGCCGCTGCATTTTGAACCAGCTGAAAATTCCGGGTAGTCTTCAAGGGCAGCCCCACGTACACCACCCTTTTATTAAAAAGAGTTTCTCTCAGTAAGATATATACTGTATATTTTGAAACTTGCATCAGGGAAGTTTACATTACAGGACTGAGATCAGGTCCTTTAGTGTCCTTAGATGTCACTAAAGAATGTACACCAACA